GGGGTTGGTTTGAAAAGAAAATATACCTTTGATATAAATAAAACCATTTAATCATTTCTTACCAACAAACATCATCCATTAACTAATATTCAAAAATATATTTTTGACATAATCATCACCCATCAACTAATAATCAAAACTTTATGTAAAACATAAAACTTTTGAATCAAAACTTCAAAATTTTTTGTTCTTGATAAGAACTTCAAGAAATATGAAGAACATACATGAAAACTCATAATAGCACCATGGATGTTTTCTTCCATCAAAACTCAAATTTTCACAACTCAAAAGAGGGTTATTATCCTAGGGTACTTAGGGGTTCCAAAAAGCACTTTAAAACCATTTTAACAAGCCTAACATGAACCCAAAAAATCACCCTTTGGATTTGGCCGAAATTCCCAAAACACTTGGCACCAACTTTTAGTTCCATTATTCATGCTTTAATGAAATACATCTACAACATTTGAGATGCTAAATTTTCAAGTAAAATTTATATTCAAAGCAAGAACAAAGCTTGTAACATTTACAACACTTAAATCACAAAATATGAAAAATCACAAAACCCAAAAGGATCCACCATAAACTAGGCCTAGGCTCTGATACCACTTGAAGGAAAAATTTTGTCCTAGCTAAGAACATGTAAGAACATTTGAATACATATGCAAACTAATAACTCTTTAAAGTAGGCATGCATTCAAAAACAATTCATAAAACCCATGACTTTCAAAGCCTAGTATATGGTGAACCATAAGACTCTTTAACAAAATTAAAGAGAATAAGAATTTAGAGATTCTTTACCCTTGAAGCTCATCCTTGATTACACAAGGGATTCACCCAAGTGGAGGGCCTTCAAGTCACCTCCTTGCTCCTTGAATCTTCCTTGTGATTTCCTCCCTTTTAGTGCTCCTTTTCTTCTTTGAGGATTTGAGGATTTGTTCTCCAAAACACCAAAAGTTTGGTGTCTCTAAGTCTCCACACCAAAGATATTGTTTGAAGATGAAATGGATGACTTAGGTAAGAAAGATTGCTAGATGTTCCTCACCTAAGGTAATGAGAGAATAGGTTTCACCCAAATTCAATTAGAAAACCCCTTAAGGTGAAATGGCTATAAAGATGTATTTATACCACCTCACAATGGAGTGGCAAACTTGCAATTAAGCCAAGTTCACTACCCTTAAGGTTATGGCCGGCCATTTAATGTTTTTGGGCTTAATTGCCCATTTTGTTTTAGTTGTCATACAATCTTAAACATAATGGGCCTTGTGGGCCAAAACGTTTTTGTGCCCCGAAGCCCAAAACTAACTTAAACGCCCAATACGAACGTTTCGTATAATTAATTAACTATTTAATTAATCTTCACCATTCTTCAATTAAACCATTTAATTGCTTATCCATTTCATATAATTTCTTCACTTATATCTTTACTCGGTGTACGATCCATTAGGTTCCAATTAGCGAGGCAGTGGGCGATGTTACTCTTAACTATCGATTGTGAATTGAAACCACATTTCAATTCTCCCTTAAATTAGTGTTTGCTAATCTTTAGGGCTTCCACAAACCATGGGTGACGCCTAGCAGCATGTCATGGTTACCCAAGCTAAGTAGAAGTGGTTGGAGAACCTATCCAGTTACAACTACAATGCAATACGGTCCTTCTCTAATACAATACTCTTAATCACATTGTTTAAGTGATAGTTTGTTTCATGTCTACTATCCAATGTGATACTTCTCTATATGATTCAATCGAATAAGATTTGGAACATCTTCCTTAGTCATATTCATATGCTTTGGCCAAAGACTCTCGAATCATATCTTAGAGTATTCTCCTTCCATCATGAAAGGTTAGAGATCCCTTGTTGTACATTCATATGCCTACATGACTAGATAGCTTGACCCCAACAATGCCGTGGACACTCCAATGGAATGCCGTTGACATAATCAAAGATCAAGGACCTAACCATTAGACATCAATGATGCCTCAGGTCAAAGGACTACTTTGCATATTGCAACTATTGAGTTCTCACATGACATGTATGTTCGAACTCTTGTTTGATCGTAGTTCAGTGTACTCGATTACTCTTTCGAGCACCTATGTGTTTGCCTTAGTGTCCAACACCAAATGACTTGAGACTAGTTCATACTCACGCTTGAGTCGACATAACACATACTAACCTTAGCGGATTGTCAATGCCCAATTGGCAATCCTATGGCTAGGAACGTTTTAGGAATGAACATAAGAGAAAGGTCTCGTTAATTTAACTAACTTAAATCACTTGTCTCTTAGATCAAATACATTCCTTGGATTCCCTTATTGCTTAAACACAAGATACTATAAATAGTGATTAACAATAAGCTTTGCCCTTCTATTAAACATATAAAAGTTTAACACAATAAGTATTCCAAAAAGCTATTACATCAAATGAGTGGCTTTGTGGGCATACTTCCAACACTTGGGAGCGAGGTTTGGGCGCTTCTGGGCTTTGTTTCTTCCCTTAGATGGGCCTTGACTTTATTGACCTTGGTGGGATGGCTTCTGGCCACCCCTACCACGCCTCTTTTGACGTTTTGGGTGTTGGTTAGTGCTATAATGTGCTTCAGGCACAACAGTCGCCCCAGTAGGTCGAACTTAATGATTCTTCATCAATAGCTAGTTCTGTTTTTTAGCGAGAAGTAAAATATAAATCAAATTCGAGAACTTAATGAACTTCTAAGCTCTATATTGTTGCTGCATGACAACATTAGAAGCAGAGAAGGTCGAATATGTCTTCTCTAGGAGATCCTCTTCAGTCAAAGTTTCATTGCAAAACTTGAGAAGTGATCGGATTCGACAAACTTCAGAATTATATTCATTCACAGACTTAAAAGTCTTAGAAGCACAAGTGCTACCAGTCGTGTCTTGCTTCATGCAAGAATATGTCATTTTGGTGATCAAAATGATCAGCCAAAGCGACCCATAATGCACGTGGATCCTCCTCAGCAAGATATTCAGTTTGCAGAGCGTCATGAATATGTCTTCAGATGAAGATCATAGCAGTGGCTTTTTCAGCTTTGCCAACAAGCTCGTCCGTTACTTCTTCAATAGCAGGACGCAAGTTCTTTGCAATGAGGTGGAACTTTACATCTTGGACCTACTTAAGGTAGTTCCTTCTAGATACCTCTAAAGCGGTAAAGTCGAGTTTGTTCAAATTCGACATGTTCCTATCACAAAATAGATGTATAAGATATGGTTAGTGTAATGGAGAAAAATCAATCCATTCACGTAGGAGTAGAACATACAGGTTCTAATAGACATGATTTGGTTTAATTTTGCATGAAAAAGCTTCGGGTTTTCATGGGTGATGTGTTTAAATGAAAAACTTCAGGTTTTCAAAAGAGGCATGTTTATAAGAAACTTTAGATTTCAAAATAATTATGAACTTCAGCTTCATATATTCCTACAGGCAAACACAAATATATATGCAAACAAATATGCAAAAATATAAAATTTAGGTTTACAATTATAATTGAATTTTAATTATTTGGACTTCGGGCCAAATTAAAGTGTGGGTGAAAAAATATAAAACCTATTGGGCCTAAAATAATTAGGCAAATAAAGCTCGGGGCCCAATAGAAAATATAAGCCTACGGGGTGGCTTAATAACATGGTGCCGTGTGACCTAGGTCCTAAATTGGGCTAGGGTGTCTCAGGTGGGGCTGCAGGCCCACGGGGAGAATTGGATAGAGGAATGGGCTGTAGTAGGCAGACCCAAAAAAAAATTTTTTTTTTTTTTTTTTTTTTTTTTTCGGTCCGGGGAAGCTCCAAAACTCAACGGGTTGGAGCAGGATTCTAGGAGGGGGGCCAAGCCCAGTGGCTCGGGTGTCCAGTCGAGGAGCCCATGTCTTCGACTTGCGGCGTGGCGCGGCTCAGCCCACAGGCTACATGCTTGGGCGAGGCCGTGGGTTAAAAAAAAAAAAAAAAACCCTAATGGCACAAGGTTTGTTTCCCAATTTAAAAAAAATTTCTCTTTTTTTTCAATTCAATTCAATTCATATATAATTCAATTTGATCCATATGCAATTCAAATAAGTTAATGCATGTACATATATTCGATTCAATTCATAACCAATAATTCACATAATTCAACAATTATGATTATGAGGCATACACAATTTATGTAGAATCTAAAATTCGTAAAACGTAAAGTTGGGTCATGCATCATGGTGAATGTTCATGCTATCAGGGCTGCAAAAATATCGAGATAAAAACCGTTGCTTTGAAAGAACCTGATTGTGTGATGATATGGATGAACTGGTTTGATGCAGAAAAATTCTTCAACGTCAGATTCCTAAGCTCAGCAGTAGGAGTGTGCTGATAACATGTTGTGGTCTATTTTATCTAACAAGTTTAGGGTGGCTGGCGGCAAGAAGAAGAGAGAGATGTGTTTGTAGAATTGTAGGGGAATGTGTGTGTTGTTATCCCTCCTACATTATACCTTTATTTATAGTAATAGAAGCAGAGAAGATATTCTTCTTTCCCAAGGAATACAAGATACAATAGGAAATGATAATTAGCATAAAATCTAATCTAGGATTTACACAATCATACTTAAACTAGGAATGTTTACAACAAAGTCTTGTTTGTTGCAGATTATATAATTTTCTAATTGCTCTTCGATTATTTCCGTCGCCAATTCCACGTCACAAACCAAGTTATTAAATTGAAGACTTCGTTTCTGTCTACAAAAATCTATAAATATAAAATGAATTCAAGATCATTCATTGTATTTGAAGAGCTAGTTAAAAGAATCACTTGAGATGCTCTTATTGGACTTTGTGGTTTAAATAGAACGAATTCAATAACGTTATGGGCAATTTGTATATACTTTCAAACTAGAGGAGTGAAACAGCAATTTTGTCAAAACAGTTAAAACGACGACACTGAATATTACTTTCGGTCTTCACTGCTCCGGCTGCAAGTTTTACATTTCACAAGGCGCGCGCGAGTTTTGATTCTTCCGTTGATTCGTGAACCGGCAATGGCGAGCTCTCTGCAGCGCATGTCAAACCACGCTCGTCTTCTCCGAGCCTCTGTTGCCTCAGGGTCCAGGCCGTTCTCGGCGGACGCTCTGGTCGAGTACATGCCCGGTGAGATCGGAAAGGTTGCTGGCATTCCCGATGAACATCTCCGCCGGAGGGTACGACCCCTTTCGTTTTCTTTCTGAAACTCAATTCGGAATCTTTTGTAATTTTGACTTAATTTCTCCAATGCATTCACATAACCCAAATCGAGTTTTTGGTTTATTGATCGAATTAGGGCACTTGGCATATGTCGAATTCGTTGTATCTGTAGGAAAATAGTAATTTCGAGGCTTGAAGTTTTCATTTTTTTTTAATGAAAGTTACAAGCTATACATAGCTAATATCAATTTATTTATTTATTTTTTATTTTAAATTGATTGTGATTGGGAATTTTATTGATTTATGAGCGTATATGACAGGTTATAATATACTCACCTGCAAGAACTGCGTCTCAGCAAGGATCAGGGAAACTTGGGAAGTGGAAGATCAACTTTGTGTCAACACAGAAGTATGGTATTTTGGTTCCCATTGTTGTTGTTCGCCGATTTGGTTATAGAGTTTTGGATTTTCCTTGGTTATCCTAGTTTTTGGGGTTGTGAAAATCTTCTGATGTGCGTCATGGTGGGTAGATAGGTTTTATACTGTTTAGTTTCTACTAAGTGTAATGTTGTGCACTGAGATTTTCTGTTAAACAATGTGAATGTTGAGTTTGAAGTGATACTTATGCTTTTGATCTCGTGTTAAATTTTTGCTTAAGCCTTCTGAACACTTGAGCTACTCTTGTCAAGTTTGATATCAAGCCAAACAACTTATTTTGTGAAAGTAAGAAATAAATATAATAACCAGCTAACAATTCTTGGACTAATAGTGAATCTCTTCATTGATAACACTGTCTATTTTTTAACCTTTTCTGAGCAGTCCACTGTAATTAGAATGACAATAAAACCTGAAAACCGTGTTGCTTTAGCTAGATGGTGTCCTTCTTGGATTTTGATTGGGATATTTCATGTCATCTCTCAGTCGAGCTGTGAAATAAACTTATTTTTGTGTTCTCTCATAATTATTGAATGATTATTTTGTTAGCATAATTGGATGATTAATAGCTCATCTCCGTGATATGTTTATAGGTGGGAGAATCCATTGATGGGCTGGACTTCCACTGGGGACCCATACGCACATGTCGGTGATTCGACACTGGGTTTTGACAGTGAAGACGCTGCAAGGTCCTTTGCAGAGAGACATGGTTGGGATTATGTGGTATGTTTGTTCTTATTTGACTTAAAGATACTTTATAGTTTTTCCTAGCATTTGCTTGACTTTATGCAGTGTTCCCGCTTTATGTCCTAGATGTTTCTAGTAAAACACAAACAGAAATTGACATTATAGGGTTGGCCCTTATTGAGCTTAAGTTCATCTTGTGTGTTTTCAATCTAGGCATGTATTCATTCCCCAAAACGTGGAGAAAGAACTAGGCATATATCCAGTGAATTGAGATATCATCTTACATCTCTAAACGTTTTTGTACTTGCATATCTCGTTTTGGTGGTGTTGATGCACAAGATCGGGTCGAACTTGGATCAACGTAAATCCGACAGTGAATCACACAAACGCACAAGAACATAAAAAATATATTGTCGTTCACCCCAAGTTGAGGCTACGTCCACGTTGGTGTCGATATGGTTTCACTATGTAAAATATGTGTTACAATGTACATGGAGACTATAGAGGCCTGGGTTTTCTCTCTTTGCTCTTCTTTTTTCACCTTTTCTCCCCTTCAAGTGAGAGTGAAGGATCCCTTTTATAGAATAAGGGTTTCCTTCACCTCCTACATACATCATAGGCTATGTCATGAGGCCCAAATACTAAGGCCTAATGTATGGTACAACAGGAGTCCCTCAAGTCTTCAGTCAAGAGAATCTTTTGGCTGGAGACTTCAAATCCAATCCATGTGCGAGCCGAAATGACTAGATGTCGTCTGAAACTAGTACTTGACATGAAGCGGTGCTTAACGTAAAGCAATACTCAGCTAGAGGTAGCACACATTGCTCGGTTGCTCGGCTAGAGGCAATGCTCGCGGCGAGGCGGTTGCTTGGTTGGAAGCAGGTACTCATTGCGAGGCGGCTCGTGGCGTTTCTCATTGCGAGTATGCACTCGACTTCAGCTTGTGCTCATTGTGAGTTAACTCTCGACATGACTCGGGTCCGCTTGTTCGGGTTTGCATATTGGGTCTATGGGTCGGGTGCACGGATTGGGTCCACAAGTCGGGTCTTTGAGTCGGGGTCATACGTAGGGACTTTGAGTTGGGTCTGTGAGTCGAGGTCGGAGCTCAAGGGTATCCAAGTTTGTGGGTGTCCAATCTCGTAAGTGCCCTGAACGATTGGGTGTTCGAACTTGCGGGTGTCTGATCACATAGGTGTCCAAATGAGTGAGTGTCCGATCAAGCGGGTGTCTGGTCAAACACGAGACCACCTTTCGGACTGAATCTTTGTCCCCATAAATGGGTGGCTCATCGATCTATAAGTTCATCAGTAGTGGTTGACAGGTTTCTTTAATTAGTAACAATGTTGATCAACGGATCCTGACAATAAATGACAGTTTAAGCATGAGTGGATAATGAATAAATCGATCACAGAATTTGGCAAAAGCATAATGTCATACTATGTAAGTTGTGTGATAAATGAGTTGTTTCATATGTGACATTGTTAAGGGCATCACAATATCACTAGGCAATGAATAAATATTGCATAAGAAATTGCCTAAATATGTAGGTCACTAGTGAAATATGATGGAAAGCGTTCTGAACATATGTGACTATTGTAGCATGCAATCTTAATATAATGACAATGGGGACACACACAATATATATCACAAAATAATAATAATAAAATATTAAATAAACAGTAATAATTTGGAGAAGATGGAGTCCTTATCTTCTCCGATGGATTTTCCCCAAACAATGGAGATGGCAGTGATGGTACAAGGCCTGCTCATGGTGAGCTTCTCAGCATTGGCACCACTTGGCTTGAGTGAGAATCTGATAGTCCAAGTCTCCAGTTTTCGTTGGTGGCAGCAATTCCTCGCGAGCTGTGCGTTGTGGAGGTCACAGTTGCGCATTGCAGCCTGAGTTTGAGCAGCTGCTGTCATTTCCATCGTTCTTCTGACCATGGCCTCCACTTCAGATCCCTTTTAGTTTGATTCTGAGGGATTTGGGCTCGGATTCATTGAACTCTCTCTAGGATTCGAGAAATGATGGAATTTCTAAGAGGGAGTGAGACCCGGTTTTGATTTTGATGGAGCGACCATGGTGGCGGCTCTGTGGGTTTGCAGAAATGAGGGTCTCCTGGCGCTGAGATGGTTTGGGTTGGAGGTTAGGCATTGGTTTTGAGAAATGGAGGCATTGAACACGAAGGAAAGGAGAGAGGTTTTGGGTTCTTGGGTTTTTGCCAATTCACGGTGGAGTGAGGGAGGTTGTGAGGGTTTCACGGTGGTGGGATGAAAAAAATAAGAGAGAACCGACATGGCTTTTGTGTTGATTCCCACAGACGGCGCCAAATGTTGATGCACAAAATCGGTGAAGACTTTGGAACAACGTAAAGTGTCAAGTTTGTGACCTTCGCTCGGTTGCTCCAGTCACCTGGTGAGAATAATATATAAATAGATAGAGATAGGGAAGCAAACACAAGATGTATGTAGTTCATCCTAAGTCTTGCTACAGTCCACGGAGTAGAGGAGTTCTCATCAACATTGAAGGGTTTACACAAATACACAAGTTTAAGCATAATTATCATCATTGGGTTCTAATGACTAGTTTAAGTACAATAATGACATTAGGGATTAATTGTAGGAGAATGGTCTTCTTTTAGCTTTTGTCTGCGGTTGATGTGGGACTCTATGAGCTTTATTCTAACGTTGACATGTGTCGCGCTGTGATTGGCCTTCTGGTTGGAGGGAAACTCTTGTGCAGGGGTGCCTTCGCATGAACCCCTCAGTGTGTCCTTGAAGGTATGACGTTCACTGGTGTTCGGTAGTTTCGAGATTGGTCAAGTATGGTACAAACAGGTGGAAAGATTAATAGCCCTATAACTGTTAGTGCACCTTAAAAACTTAAAATAACTTCCCTTTGACCTATTAACAAGAGTTATTGAACTTATCTGCAGGTTAAAAGGCGGCAAACACCATTATTGAGGGTATGTGATTCTTTCTTCATATTTTCTGAAGCTATTTCCATTCTCATACGATAACAGTTTCTTTATCTTTTGGTTTTTTGTGAATATATTTTGGGTTTTAGGGGTAGGGTGCATACAGCAGACTGTTGTCATTTGAGATTAAGACGGTGGTTTTGTTTGGGAATTAGAATATAAATGCATCCTCAATTTTCATGAACACAGCTTTTGGTTTCTTTCTTCTCTGTTAATAAAGCTCAGACTTACTCTTAAGGACTTGTGTAAATATTATAGTTTCAATCTATTAATTTTGAGCTACCTAGGTGATAATTTCCTGAACCAAGTACTTCATTGAAGTTACACAGTTCTCTCTCTTTTTGGTATGCCAATTCATGCCATGATTACCTTCTCAAAACAGATCAAACTGCTTTTTGCAAGCTATGTGTGTGGAAGAGTAGATAATGTGTTGTGATGGCATTGACAAAACTGTTGGACATAGTCCATTGGAAGTTTAGTAGTATAATTTGGCACTTTTTCTTGAATTCGTTAAAGAACAGGAGTAATGAGGAATTGCGTGTCCTTGAGATATAATTTTCTTAAGTTGGTGACCAGCTTCCTTTGTATCTTTTCCTTTCTGCAATTAGGGATCCTTTCTTCTTTTTGCATTCTCGGAATGTTTGGGAAGTTTGGTGTTTTTTTCTCTCTAACTGAGCTCTAGTTTCAGGTGAAGGCATATGCGGACAACTTCAAGTTTAAAGGCCTACCAAAAACTGAGGAGAGTTGATTTTGTTTCAATGGTTTTGTTTCTGGGTTCTATCTCAGGAGGGAGGTTGTGCATCAATGCTTTGCAGTTTCCTTAGTTGTATTTCATTGAACGTGTTACTTGACCCAAAGGAAACACACTTGATCCAAATGAAACACCGACTACAATAATAAACGGGATTCATGCTGTGAAGTATCTCCCCCTATTTCTTTGGCATAAATGACACTCCATTTGTATTCCCTCTATGGTTGATTGTATTTTTACCGTTATTGTATTCCGTGTCGTATTTTGTTATATTTTTGGCTTACAATTCAGTGCAGTGTGAATTGTTTTCTTCTCCCTCTCCTCTCTGTTTCCCTCCTTTGCATAAATCTCAATCCCTTTGTTCTTCTTTCCCCCAAATCTCTTTGTTGGTTGAATGGTAACTGTTACGCTAAGTACCTCAGGGTTTTGAAATTACGAGTTGAGTCTTGACTATCTGTTTCGAAAACAGTATAAAATCAAAAGTTGTGTTACAGACAGCCGCCTACATTCGATGGTAATTAAAGGTTGTGCTAGAGTCAATTGCCCACATTCGATGGTCATTATGTACCATTTATGAATCGCGGTTTGAAATTTCATCGATAGCTAATGAATCATATCAAACCTTGTTTTAAATCAAAATTTTTATAGGCTTGTAGTTCAGGCAAGCACTTCCAAATATTGATTTATTATATAAAATCAATTTCGCCGATCATTTATTAAGAAAATTCGTTATTCCATCAGTGTGACATAAAGATCGTCGGTTTAGATAAAAAACTCATAACTCAAACACAATGATAAATTTTCCCCTCAGATGATCCCGGAACCAGATTGAAATTGTTGAAGTTGTATCGACCATGATTCAGCAGCTAAACCCGGTGGGGAGAGGATTTGCCGCCAGCATTTTCAACCTCATGTGAACACCCTGTTAACAGTAATTCCGCTAGTGTCTGGTAACAAGTGCTTCGTATAATATTTGGATTTACGGGACAGAATGATCTTTGTCCGCCGCCTCTCTGGTATTGATTCAATTGAACATTGTGAAAAACCACGCCTCACAAACCTGTGTTATAGACAACGGGTGTCATTCTTCAAGACAGATCATTGAACCTTTCTCTACTTATAAAAAAAAATAAAACATGTTGCGGACAAATCACTCCTCCGAAGCACCAAGAAATATGTGGAATAGGCATATCTAACCCTCACGCGACTACAACAAATTGGACCGATTCCACAACGAAAAACCTCAACTAGATTACGGTGTTCCTTTTCATCTTCAGCTCCAAACCAAAGTAAATCAGAAACATTACTCCATTAACTAGTGAAACCTCCACAAGCATACATGTAGTTCAAGTAGTGGGAACTAACCAGTCTGCAGTGCGTGTTGTGAGCACGAACAGCTTTTCTAATCCAAGAGAGGATGCCTTCTTCTCAATGTAATCTGCAGATATTCAAAATCAAAGTTCTTAAAAGTACGGACTATCTAACTGTAACGATAATAAAGTTTATAGATATACAACATACATTATATCAAATTGTCCCTTTTGTTTTTAATTGGATCCCAAATTTCAGTTCAAAGCATCCTGGGTTAAATGAATTCAAGATGTTCGGTAGAAAAAGAAGAGGAAAAAACAAGATGTGGTCCAAATCTATGTAACTTAGCCCAGAAAGATGATGTGACCAGTTACTCATGTTTCTTCCCTATCTGTATCCATTTAAATATAAAATCCACTTTTCATTTGATCGGGCCTCGTAAAAGCATTTCTTTCTGTAGAGTAAAATCAATTGACATGCTGCGAGGAACAAATGCATACTTTCGGCTATAATGTGATTTGACCACTCATTCCTGGTTAAGAGGTTCATGTAGAATTTGGCATATTTTTCGACAGTTCATGTTGAAAATAAGCTCAGTAACGACCACTGAAAGTACAGAAAGAAATGAGGAAAGCAACAAGAGCAAAGATATATCGATGCTTATTCAAGTTTATATAGTATATTACCAAGTAATTTATCACCCTGCCCTTGACCGCGGCAATCAGGAGAAACTGCAACAGCAGCAACCTCTGCACATTTCTCCTCTGGGAAAGGGAAAAGAGCAGCACATGCAATGATTTGGCCTTCTCTTTCCACCACAATGAAGCAATCCAATTCTTCACGTAGCTATTGGTAAATATTCAGTTTAAAATAAAACAATTTCAGATCAGTTTTAATTAATAATCACGAGTAAAAAATAGAAGGTTCTGAAAAACAAAAATTAAGAAAGACCGGGAACACAAACCTGTTCATCACTTCTTGGAACCAATGTGCTGGCTGCTTCTAAAGGTTGTATAATTTGTCTTATTGCATAGAAATCAGATGCCCTAGCCATCCGGGTTCCTTCATACAGGTCACTAAGGTCGAGCATTTAATGCAGGTGTGAGTGGATAGATAGAGGAAAACTTATGCATATGTTAGGTACAATTATTTGCTGCTCTCCGTTTTCATAATTAATGTAAGGAAGCTCTTGAAGTTAAACTTCAACAATATCCAATCTTAGCATGATTAACCGGCAATGATGAGAATTCATTGGCAGAAAAATATTGAGAATTGTTATTAGCACTCCAAAAACGTCATGTCACAGTCCTCCCTCCTTTTCTCTATTCGGGAGGAGTGCAGGACGACTTTTTTGGAATGCCAACTATTTTTTGAACTAGTGATTAGAAAATACAAATATAAGACCAAAACAACCATGAACCATAGGAGCCCAAAACAACCAGGAACCATAAGAGCTTATTTTATGCACAATCCAAGCACAACGAGACCGAAACAACCTCTATGAACTCGTGCAATTCTAATATTCTATCGATGAATTTATAGATGTAATGTGACTTGAAGAATTGCTGCTTGGATTTCCACTAAAATGCTGACCAGGCTAGTAAGCAATAAAAGAGGAAACAAACATAAACCAGGAAAATATAAATAGCAGATAATCACGTCAACAACAAAAAGACTGGCAATTAGGACCATCAGCATAGCTTATCATCACATTAAAGTTTATTAGAATCTGACATCAGAAAGTCGTCAAAGTATACAAAAATACGGATACTTATACTGCAAAAATAGCATACCTAGCCACCATTGTCCCCAATCCATCTCTTTTATACAATTCCAACAACAACATGCCCCCTTTAGTGCCATCTAACAGATGTACTCTTTGAACACCTCCCTGGCAATAAACAGGAACTACCATTGGCTGGGTTCTTCAGACTCAACATATAAAGAAGCTGGGACTTTAAACTATGCAGACAAATATTTAACGAAGTTTGTAAACCAGGGGGCAAAAAGGACTGTTATGAGCTTACCCTGCAGACAAAGGCCGCAGCAGCCAATTCTGAAAGGTAACCGTTTAATCGACTTAGCCGCTCATGACCTCCAATAGCAAAACCTTGTTCACCAGTCCACAATCCATTCCCATTTTCAAAACCAACACCGTTGTGAAACCTTGCAGTATGATTTTGCTTAAAAGCCCTCCCATTCTGGTGAGTAGCATTATGATCATCATATCCAAAACCAGACAGATTTTCTTCATCGACAGCTTTCACATAGCTAGCAGCTGTCTCACTTTGCTGAGCCCGCCTACGAATCAACATGTCTGCTTCTTCAAGAGTTAAGAAGCGAATAAGGCGTCTACTCTCGTCAAGAATTGGACCATCTATTATGCAGATAAGTTTATCTGCTTCGATAGCCAAGGCACAAGCTGTTGCAACTTCATAAGTGCTGAAATATATAAAAGCATAAATAATCAGCTTAGGTACTATATATGCAAAAGGAGTTGGCAACATATAATTATCAACTAAATAGATAATCACTACCGAAACAGAAGCTATGCTAGCATACTTGCAATTTAAAATTTCTCCAGAGCTGGAATAACCCAGGTTGCTCAATATCACAATACAATCATCATCAAGCCTCTTACGCATGCGAGAAACATCAACTTTCTTGATTTCACCTGTTGCCCCATAATCAACACCAGCAACGACTCCTCGTCTCTGAAAAACGAAATAGCAGCAGTACTTTACGGAATTCGGTACCAACCAAAAAAAATCACAAATCAAGAAAACAACGTAATGTTGAATGTCACTTTTGAAAGAGTAAGATTCTTACCTTGGCTGCAAGAAAGTTACCACTCTCTACGCTGACACCAACCTCATGCAAACGACTGTTGTCACCGTGTCGACGAATATTGCACATGGAGGGTCCTGGAGAAAGCTTTGCCTCTATTGTCTTAGATATCGCCCCAGCCGCTTGCTTTGCAGCATCTAGGGAATCTGAGTCAGTTACCCTGTACTGACCAACAAACTTTGGCTCCTTTCCTGAAAAGTAACAACTAACATATACCTGCTTAGTGTCAACCTTATAGCACTTCAAATGGTTTAAACAAACCAACAGCTTCAAGAACATAAAGGATTAACAATCTAACTAAACTAAATCATCCATGCCCACAAAAAAAATATATATATGCAATATGAAAATCAATAACACTAATAAAACACATTTGTGCTCAACTCCATGATATCATGCTTAGGCTCCGTTTGAGATTGCTTCTCTAAAAAGCACTTGTACTCCTAAGTGCTTCTTCTAGACCTGCTTTAACCACGTTGAAATGTTTACTAAAAATCCAAATCCTACCTGGAAAAACACTTAGAAGTACTTCTCGAAGAAGCATCTAGCAAGTGCTTCTCCAGAAAGTGCTTTTATGAGCCCGAAGTACTTTTAAGTTTTTCTGCCAAACGCAATCAGGACTTTTGGCCGTCAGAAAACGCTTTTAGCCATCCCATAAGCGAATTCCAAACAAGCCCCATCCATTTGAAAATTACAATAACAAGAACATACAATAAAACACTCACCTCTTCGTGCCAAAAGTTCATCAATTTGCACATGGGGTCCTGGAACAAGAACAAACCTGATCCCCAGGAGATGAAGAAGTGCTATATCCTGCATAAAACCCAAATGTATAAAAATATATACTAATAAATATAGTATAATACAAAGAGAAATAAATTAAAAAGAACTTTGCTTAAACTAAAATGCTGCACAGCGCTCTAACAAACAGAGAAAATGAATAAAAATATGATCTTTCCTTCCGCTGATGACATTAATGAATAAAAATCTTTCCTTCCGCTGACGACATTGTTTGTTTCATTTTCTCAGCAGCCAAACAGACCAAATATAAAAATTTCTCAGCAACCAAACAGTTAAGAAAATTAGAAGGCAGAGTACCTGCCTTGAGAATTGATTCCAAGTAAGTGCTATTGGACACAATTTCACCCGATATAATCACAACGAAGGTACTGCCGCGGTGGGCCCATAAATACGGCCAAGCCTCCCGGAACCACCGCACGAACTGCTCGTCCTCCATGCAATTGTAGTTCTCACAATCGCTCTCGCTCTCGTCCATCACTGGGCCATACGCATTACTGCACTTGAGGGAAATTCCCGCCCTGCCCTTCCGCCTCCCTCTAATCGCCAGAGGCAGCCGCAATGGTTTTTCAGTAACGGTGAGAGAAAAGCGGCGAAGCGAGGTTAGCTGGGAGGTTACGGCGGCGAGTCGTCTGTGGGTTCCTAAAGAGGTGTACGTCGCGGCCATTGAAGGGTTGGAGAGAAATGCACACAGAGTGACCTAATCGAAAAATGAATGCTGGAGTGAACTCCGGTAGCCGCGGTCGAAACTGCCCACACCGAAGTTTTGGTTTACTACCATGCACCACTTCACTATTTTCGCCCGTTGGTTGGTCGTATTTTATTTGGGCTTAAATTTCACACTAATAAAATTCGAGGTGTTACAAATATTCTTGAATTATAATTGTATAAATTATATATAAATTTGGTTTTTAGTCAAGAAGACATTTCAAAATTTTCATTCTGCACTATTTATAAGTGTACTTTTCTTTCTAAATATAGAAAGTTTGAAGTGCAAAATAAAAATTTTGGAGTGTCAATAATAATTCTCTTTAGTCATGGGAAGTATTATTGGCACTCCAAAAATCTCATTCTACACTTATCACAAGTGTATTTTTCTATCCAAATATAGAAAGTTTAGAGTGTATAATAAAATTTTTGGAGTGCCAATAACAATTTCCTTAGTTATTCTTTCTCTATATAATTGTTAATACTCTTCTCATTCTCTATTATAAACAAAGGCACTATGTAAATAAATACACCCAAGAACCCCTACAATTTCTCCACACTCTCTCTTGCGGCCACACCTTTCTTCTCTCTCAGATAAATATAGATCACAACACGTTATCAGCAGGCTTCTCCGCTGAACTACAGAATATAACGGGAGCACTACAAAATATAACGGGAATTTTCTGCTACAAACTAATTTATCAATATCTATCACGTAATCGAGGTTCTTCCATAACAACGATTTTATTATCAATATTTTTTTAGCATTAATTGCATGAACCTTCACTATAGTGCATGATCCAACTTTAAGTTTACGAATTTTAGATTATACATAATTTTATGGAAGTGTTATTGGTACTCCAAAAATCTCATTCTACACTTCTCATAAGTGTATTTTTCTTTCTTAATATAAAAAGTTTGGAATGTAGAATAAGAGTTTTGAAATGCTAGTAACAATTCTCTAATTTTATTTATGCATATATCAATAATAACACGATTATGTGAATCGATATTTTGATATTGTGAATATGCATTGAATATTGAAAAATAAAATTAGGGTTTTCTCGAAAACCTAAAGAGCAGCGGTCCGAAGCCGCACCGCCGACCCCGTGAGCAGTGGAGCTGCTGGCTCCACCTGAGAACTCAGAAACCCAACGCCGTTTTGGCGTCAACCCCAAACATAGAAACCCTCGCCTACAGCCGAGCCACAACATCGTCGTCTTTTCTAGAAAATCACGACCTGCAGTAGTGTTTTTGGGAATTGATTTCATCATCTCCAACAATGTTCTTGGAAATTCCAGAATAATTTCGTCGATTCCTTGAGGGATTCAAATCGAATTCCCACGGTTTTCACACCCCGACGTTCAAAGAAATTTTTTCGTCCAAATCAAGGGTTTCAGTTTGAACTCGTGCTTCGCCCCAACCGACACTGACCCAAAACACGGCCGCGTGAAGCGGCGGCGCCCGTTTTCTTCCCTAGTGACCACAACAAGCATTACTAGGGTATTTTTGGTTCAACGTGACAGTTTCCTCTCAGCCCGTAGCAACTGAAAAAGCAATTGGGCTTTGCCCAACGGCCTGCCAACAACTGCCCATTCCTGCTGCGCCCCACCTGGGCCTGCACCCCGCAGCCTAACACTACGAAAAGGGCATGCAGTCGTCAACTCGGCTTATGTCAAACCCAGCCCACATGGCTTTGGTTCAATTTTGGACCACCGACTTTCATCTTTTAAGCATTATTGGGTTTTAATATTTTTTTTGTTCATCACTCCTTATTGGCCCGAAGCTCAATAACAGAAATGTATCAATTCATTAAATTATTGTTGAAGGCCACGAAGACCTACATGTTTTCTATATTGCATACTATATGTATATATTGCGTTTTCTTACAGGAACTCATGAGCCTGAAGTTCATACAAATTCAAACCCGAAGTTTCTAATAATATGCCTTGAAAACCTGATGTTTTTCAAGAAAATTTAAACTAATACATGTCAAGAAAATTTAAACTAATACATGTCTCATAGAACCCAAATGTTTTATTCATGTGTGAATGGATTGACAAAATTTATCTCATTACACTAAACACAATCTTGTCCAATTTTTTTGTGAGGGATGTGCCAAATTTGAACAAACTTGACTTTATCGCTTTAGAGGTCATCCAGAATAAATTGCCAAAAGTGGTCAAAGATATGAATCTCCATCTCACCGCTAAAAGCCTTTGAGCCACCATTGAAGCTGAGACAAATATCCCGATTGGCGAAGCTGAGAAAGCCACCACCATGATCTTCATACAAAGATATATGCACGACGCACTGCAAACTGAGTACCACGTTGAGGAAGATTCATGAGCTTTATGGGTAGCTTTGGTGGATTGTTTCGATCCCCAAAGAGACATATTCTTGCCTGAAACAAGATACGGCTGGTAGCATTTGCGCTTCTAGGACTTTAAATCTGTGAATGAATACCATTATGAAGTTTGTCAAATCCGATCACCTTTCAAGTTCTTTAATGAAGACTTGACCAAAGAGGATCTCCTGGAGAAAACCTGTTCAACCTTCTCTGTGACCAATATTGTTCTGCAGTAATAATATAGGCACATAGTTCACTAAGTTTTCGAATTTGACCTCTATTTTACTTTTTGTTGAAAAGCATAATCAGCTGTTGATGAAGAATCATTAAGCTCAACCTATTGGCTTGACCACTGTGCCTAAAGCACATATTAGCGAGAATTAACGCTCGAATCGCTGTTCTAGGTGTGGTAGGCGTAGCCAAATGTTGTCCCACCAAGGTCAACAGAGTCAAGACCTATCCAAGGGAGGAAATAAAGTTCCAAAGCATTCTAACCTTGCTCCTAAGGTCTTGAACTTCAAGAACAAGGGCAAAGCACGGAACACCATGAATGTGGAGATTCAATGGTATCTGATAAAAACGTCCAAATAAGGGAAATCGAACTTGTGATGATTTAACAATCCATTGAATTGGAAGGAACAAGATTGTGATTGGTGCTATGGGAATGAATCATCCATAAGCATCAAAATTAGAACATTCGAGTTCTAAGACATGATTTTCATGAAAAACATCGGGTTTTCATAGGTGTATTGTTTTAAGAAAACTCCGGGTTTCAAAGGCACTAAATTCGAAACAATGGGTTAAATTTAGTTTATGAACGTTTAGTTCATAAAAGAGAGGTTCCTACAAGAAACACAGAATGCAATATGCTGATTGAAGTGTAGTGGATTTGAGTTTCTTCGGGAACTCAAGTGTGAGAGCTTCGGGACTACGAAAGGATGTCAACGGTTCAAAGTATACAAATAAATTATTGAATCGATAATGTCCAAAGTGATATTCAGGTCAATAATTTTGGATTAATTATCAGATTAATGGACTATAGGTCACTTTTAATTAATTCAATAGATCGGGACCAAAGGGGGATGATCGTGGAAGCAAAAATAATAATAATATTTGGGTTTAAATTATTTAAAATGCAAAAAAATTAGCATTGGATTCGAAAAACCATAGCCCAATAGCATTTGGGTTTGGGTACCGTGAGTAGGGCAAAGCCTTAGAGGCTTTTGGGCCTCAGGTTTGGCTGCTAAGCAGCCCACATGTGGTTGCAGGCCATAGGCCGAGGGACTGGGTAGCCCAGCAACAAGATATTGGCGTTTTTGGGCCAAAAGGTGCACGAGAGCAAGCCTAATCGAAGCTAGCTTGTGGGTCAGCACATGCAAAGCCCAGCCGAAGTTGAGGTCGTGTCTTTAGGCAGTGGGACAAGCCCAACTTGCAGGGCTAGCTGCGGTACATGCAAGCTGAGGCGGTAGCAAGCCTAACAAGCCAAAGGCTTGTGGGTTATGGGCTCGGGTTAGATCGGGGCTTCAGGCCTGTAGATTATGCAACCCAAGCCGAAGCTTGGTTGGTTTCCAATAGGGCAGCAAGCCCAAAGGGCTGTGTGCCCTGTCCATGTGTCAATACGACATTATTTCCCCATGTGGCTCGGCTTCAAGCTAGCGTAGTGGTCCGACATGGTGTCACGGTGGTGCAACAGTACCGCAAAAAAAATCCCAATTTTGTTTTTTGTTTTTTCGAATTTTCTGGGGTTTGAAAAACCCAAATTGCTTCTAATTTATTTATATGCTTTGACTCGCAAAATTCACATAGCAAAAATTGTGTAATGCATGAAGCGTGTGTGTGTATATATCAGAAGGTAAATATAAATGTAAGGGGCTCATGCATCATGGGGAATGTTTTCATGCTTCATGGTCGTTTCAAATATCTTCCTTTATTTTAAGTGTACCTGATTGGCAAAGGCCTTTGAATTTGTAGAAGATTATTCTCAGAAAGCCAGAATTGCATCTCGAATACGTTGTATCACATTTAACACATAAAAATTAAATTGAATAAATAGCATGTAGATCAATTCAATAAAATAATAAATTAATCATAAAAAGAATGATTAAAACGTACTACTCCCTTGATTGAAGATCAAACTCTCTTTAGTGCAGCGTTAAGAGCGTACTGATAACGTGTTGTAGGCATAATTTACTAAATGATAGGAGCATATTTATACGACTTAGTTAGCTTGTTTTCTTGCATTTAATTAGCTAAACTATGTTAATTATAGTGTTTAAAGTTATTTTCGTGCAAATTCAGGTTTTAGTGTCAAAGTATGCAAAAAGAAGCAATTTGGAGCATTCTAGAGCATTTTTGGGCCAAGATTGGATAGTGCAAGCATGGAGGCATGAGGATGGACGAATTTGAAAGGCTTGAATTCAGTTATGGAGTAGTTTGGGGCATTAAATGGATTGCATATGCTTAAAGCCATTCCACAACTTTTCCTAGCTGTTTTGCACATGCATTCCCTTCAAATAAATCAGCCACATGCACCCATAATCATTCAACCAACTTTGCACATGCATTCATCATCATAACCTAGCTGTCATTCCACTTTAATCACATGCATAAATCAGCCACATGCATCTCCCATCACCATTCCAGATTTCCACCAAGTTCCTAGCTGTCATATTCCCTCCTTTTCACCTATAAATAAGCATCCATTGCAGCCACAATTGATTCATTCTCATAGACTCTTCCATTTTCAGAAAATCATCCACAAACACCAACCATTTCCTTATTGCCGTGGCTTCCCCCTTCCATTTTCACCACTCCCCAAACCATTCACACCATCAAACTATCCTTAGACCTTGTGCTACAACAAAGAGGAAGAGAAGCGGGCCTAAACGTTCATACAATTCAAGTTTGAGTTGTTGGAATGTTTAGGTGTTTCTTTTCCTTTGAATTCAATGTTTAATTTCAATTCTCTTTGTTTTGTACGTATGAGGAACTAAACCCCCCCTTGGCTAGGGGGGATTCAAAATATATGTTTATGCTTGCATTTTGATTTGATTACTTCTAATTGCGTTTCATAAGTTGTGGATTCAATTTGTTTAACTGTTTGATTGATAACTTATTTATGTATGTTTATTGAGAGTACACGCTTAATTTTCATGCATGAATATGACGCTAGAATATAAGGGAGTTTCACCTAATAGTTACGAACTTATATTCACAAGTAGTGGAGGTTGCTTATAAACAATCGCGTTAAACGAATTCTTGGCATAAGTTTCATGCAATCATGGTAACGAATGCCTCGTCAACACTTATAATCTTCATAGAGCGTAATGATTCTTGCTTGTATCTCTATTATGCAATCATGTAGGGGACTTGTGGGGAATGTTTTGGGTTGTCGTATGCAATCATCCAATTCAATAACGTTAGGAAGATTTGAAGGTTAATTAGTGCATCACGGTTAACTTGGGGTGTTGAGAATTCATGGTTTATTGAAATGCAATTGGAAATCTTTTTATTATGCAAGTGTAACATGTGTGGAGATGAACCCCTTGGCTAGCATCCATTCATTCCAATTCATCCATTTCATATTTACATTCTGTTTTAATTGCAATTTGTTCATTTAGTTTAATTTCGTCAAACCCTAAATCCCCCTTTACTTTATTGTCAAATTAGTTAGAAATCAATTTAGTTTGTGTTTTTAAGAGTCTTGAGTCAAGTTACAACTTAAATTCGTCCAAAATTGGGTTTAAGGTCAGAAACTGCCTAGTTAGTGTTTTTAGGCAGTTTTGAGTCTTTTGAACTTGTTTTGAGTCCTTTGAGTCTTTGTATTGTCCAAATTAGTTAGAAAGTGTCTTAGTTTGTGTTTATAAGTGTTTTGATTCAATTTGTTGCACAAATTCGTCCAAATTCACCAAGGTGCTCAAAACTGCCCAGAAAGTGTTTTTAAGGCAGTTTTGAGTGTTTTGGGTGATGTTTAAGTCTTTTGATTTGTTTTAGTGTTTTAAAGTTTAGTTTTGCATTCTTTGAGTCTAGTATAGTGTTTTATATTGTGTTTTTACGTTTTTGAGTGAAATCCAAGTGATTAACAATCCCTCCTAATCCCCGGTCCTGAACGATCCCTACTTACATACTTACTACAATTGTCAAAAAGAGGGTTTAATTTGTGTGCGTATAAATCTCGCATCACTAAACAATTATGAAGGCCATAGAGAGAGGAGTGCGGCAATAGTAGAGAGAAAGAGAGAGATGTGTAATTGTGAGGTGTGTGTTATCTCACCCCGCGAAAGGGAAGATATGCTTTGGCTTTCTTTGGTCTTGATTGTGCCTTTATTTATAGTGTAGGGAATGTTAATTCCTTACCCTTTTAGAATTACAACTCTAACGGAATATTAACTACTAAAGGGAATTACACAATCACATTCTTAATCTAATAGGATTGCAACAGGGTATTGGTATTCACAGATTTTTTTTCTTTTTTCTTTCTAGTTTTCTTTTCTTTCTTGTCTTTTTTTTTTTTGGTTGAAAACATCATAAACCATTAATGTAATTCTCACTTTGAAGGTTTTGTTTTCATTCTATTTTTCTTTGTGTTTTACCCCTCCCTCCTACGACCCTTCTTCCATCTCTTCTTTCTCCAACACAAAAAACAAAAAACTAAAAATGAAATAGTTACCTATACATCTCAAAGTTGAAAAGAGAGGGGAAGAGAAAGTGAAGGGGTATTTGATTGTTCGTTGACTCTATATGATACTAATATTTCTATCAAGTATAAGTTCTATTACAAGTCATCGATGTATTTCCAGATTTTTTTGTGATTCGACCCTTGCACCCTATTTCATCACGTAGAACTGAATGGGAACCTGACATCCACCATAAACAACAGCTTACAAAGTTCACATGACCCCGTTCTTAAGGGAGAAACTGTTTCTTTTTACCGGCTATCTGAATCTCCTTTTAGAACAAAATGAAATCAGAATTTCCATTCCGGTTGCTCAAAAAACATCAACTGCGCACAACTATGAATTTTACAACATTGCAACCGTTCCTGCTACTCTCTAGAGTCCAGACCACAAATTTTACAGATCCGTTCAACACATCTTTATTTTCTTCCAACTCAACTTTGAAATACGGCAGCCTTTTCTTGCATGTGCCATGCCCATGTTGACTTCGCAAAGGAGGTGTTGTAAGCTGCTTGTTTACCACAACCAAAGGAGCCACCAGTGGCGCGGTTGATCAGCAACTTTTCTAGTGCTCCGGGGAGTGACACTGATTCTTTCTACATTTGAGGAGCACCATCTGTGATACTCAGGAGAAGAAGCAAGTTCCTGCAAGGCATTTGTTGTTGTCTCTCTGGTGAATGCGTCCCACTCTTCTTTTGAGTATTTTCTCCTTTCAGGTGTGGTGTGGAAGGTAGAAGGAAATAACCATGCATCTGAAGGTGGAGAAGGCGGAGAATCAGGAATTTCCAATCTGCGGCGGTTCTTTTTGGGTGTTTTCAGCGATTTCCTGCAGGAACATTCCATATATGTCATGAATGACAAAACCCAAAACCCATGGCAAAAATCAAAGAAAGTTAAGAAACATACATGCTATACTGCACATCATCTAATACATGTTACTAGGACTCCAAAAAACCATTACCAATGTACCAGCATGCATAAGAATAACAAATCACATTGTCCCTTTGATTACCAGAATAGTGAGAAACTGAGTAACCATTTGACATTTGTGTTTTTCACACGCACACAACACAACTACTCGCAATTTAAGCAACTATTGACATTTGGAGATGACTCCTATGTAACACACTTCAATTATAAAAATACATTGCTGTATTAGAAAAAAAGTTGTTCAGTATTTACTGTTTACTTGTATTGCCGACTGAGGAATATTATGGTGGTTACTTACACGGTAGATATCGACGAAGGAAATGTTGGCAGATACTGGAAGGCCATGACTAAGCTCCAGAATTGGAAAGACATAATCTTGCACACGCGACGAAGGAATCTCCATCTAAAGATTTTCTTTAGTATAGCAGAGATGACGAATCCAAATACTATAGCTTCTGTTGCCAGTAGGTGATCGACAGAACTCTGAATGCAAAGGATACATAAAATCCCTTTTCAGATAATGAGATATATATAAGCACCATTAGTGAAACTTTGATAGACAAAATTTGAAATGTATACTTATCTAACGTACCTGAAAAATCACAGTAGCACCCAGAATTTTGATGGAACAATTAACAAACTGAGATGTCATTATATCGATTGATCCATCTTCTGTAAGGATGAGTTTGTGAACTGCCCAGAAGCCCAACCATGCTCCAGCCAGAAAAAGAAAAGCCAGAAGAAATATAGCCAACTGCAAATTATGAGAGAATTTCCCCAGTATTACCAACAGTTAACTCTGCAATCATTAAGCATACAGGTCGCAATAAAAGTAAAATAAGGTGCAGCAATGACTTAAATAATAATAAAAAGGTCAATTTCAGGGTATCTTAAAGAATGAAGAATGTGAAGTCTACTTGTAAACTATTTCCGCCCAAAAGAAGGAGAAGCATTAATTCCAACTTACAAAACATAAAACCTCTATATAATACAAGCCACTAGAACAATAACTAGCCTAAAGAATGAAGGTGTGACTTGATGAATATCTTGAGAATAGATCAATATCATTATGATCTATCAACTATTACATGCCTAACGGACTGACAACTTGATGCAAGATGAAAACCATAACGTAACAAAGACTAGAACAAGAATAACTATTATCAGAATATGGCATAAAAACCAAGTGTGTGCTTGTAAGCCTCTAAGGTATTACATGCCATTAAAAACTTGAATTCTGATTCTGGCACCAATTAGTAGTTAGTACACACCTGAATAAAACTAAAATCCAAGATGGTAAGAGAAATGTAGTGCAGAATTATAAGCAGATCTTACCTGAAAGAGAATACAGAGTACATCAAAACCCAAAAGAAAATAATGAAATGCATATTAGAGAGCATATTTTATTTGAAAGAGATGTTTGATATAAAAGATGTTTACCGGTTCGTATTTCATCAAAGCATTCAACTATATGCTGACGTCAATGCGATACAAGGAAAATTTGTTCCCCCTAATAGATGGCTATAAATTGATTATTCCATGCATATCACTTGAAATACCTATAACATAATTTTTAATGAAAACACAACTCTAAGGGAAGCTTTCACTGAGTAATCAAATGATGTCGCTATATGCCCCATAATTGTTATCGTTGTTTAAATAACTTAATAGTTATAACTATATCGGGCTGAGTAAACCTGCTAGATTTCAGCAACAATACCAAAAGATAAACACGGTAACATCTTGCAACTAGAAAACAAAAAACATGGATGATTTTATCTAAAATAAAGGTCACCGGCCAAACATGACGATACATGCAATAAAAAAATCTGGATGGAAAAAGAGGAAGGCATTTTTCTTTATGGTGAAGATAGTTAGGCAACTAAAAGAATAATTCAAGATAACTTACAGGATTATACATATCTTCGCTGATTCCAATCTCTATGAGTACTGTACGCAATAACCCAGGTAGGTAGCTAAGGAGAAAAGATCCCAAACCAACCTGATAAAGTGTGAGAATTACATCAATCATTATCATGTAAACGAAAAGTGTAGAAAGGTAAATTAACTGAGCTTTGGTACATACCACAGATGAGTACACAAAAATTGCAAGAGAATTCTTCCGACCGGTTGGAAGAAGCTTCATCCCCTGTACACAACCACAAAAATTAAAACATCATACTCGGTCATATCTTGGATGGTGTAAGGACTTCATTGGACAATGGACATTCAGCAATCTTATCAAGAAAAAGGATTACAGCAGTATGGCAACTATTTTACCTGAAAAAGTACAATCAATATTACAAGGACCACCCCAATTGCCATTCCACTGCCGTAATAAAATACTAATGAATTGCTCAGGAGGGACGCCAAGCTCATCATGATTATGCCCAATATCAAAAACGTCACGCGATATTTAACAAATTCTGCAAAACAAAGAACACATTAATCAACTGGTCACTAAATGGATTAGAGTACAACGTAAAATCATGTGCACATTAGACTCAGGAATATTACCTTCTTCAATGGACACCTCCAAGCTCTCTAAGGGTGAACCATATGTTCGTATATCTAAGAGTTGGTGCTCAAAAGGTGACATGGACCTTGACCAGGAGCCCTTGGGAACCTTCTGCCAACGGCTTTGAGGGCACATCCCTAGCCCAAGAGATGTATTTCTGCAAAGAAAGAAAAAATTCATCATTCCACACATAAATAACGTCAAAGCAATGGAAAAGATATCTCAGAGACACTGGTAATATGATATCGCACAATAATTAGTTTCTTCCCATTCAGTTAATTAAGTTCTGTATGCAGAGTGTCTGACAGGGGAGTTGTATTAAAAACTCACATGGCCCATAATATTGATGACTCACCTGTGGAAACAAACCTCAAAGGTCGGTATATGAGTGCTTGAATTTGTTCCTGATACCTTCACCTTCACCGTGTTGGCAAACTTCCCAATATTTTTAAGCCTTGACAGTCCACGGATATGAACTCTTTCACACAGCACTGAAACGCCAGGCTTGGAGCCAGGAGAATTTTTTACTAGCGCGCCATGAGATAATTGTAACCTATCCGACTCGGAAATAACTGCAATACCAAAAGAATAATCATGAGTAACAGAATTCTAGAACTCAAAATCATAAACATGAAATAAGCCATTTCTATCTGCCTACACTTCAAACTAATCTAAATGGCCATTTTCAACCTTAACAAAACGTTCCGAAAAGCTGTGTTCTTGGAGGCACATTTTTGTTCCCAAAAGAAAAACCCATTCTAATACATCCAAAACCTATAATGTAGTAGTTGTATCAGAAAAAAATAATTTGATATAATCAAAGAATATCCCACTCCAAATCAAAATTTGAAATTTCCCACAATCTTACTTCTTCAGAAAAATTAAGAAACCTAACGCAGAAATCTACTCCCATTCACTTCATATATATATATATATAAATTGGGTTTTCGAATCCTTGATCAATTCGTAGCAAAAGATTCAAATTTTCCCTCGGTATTCTCAGAAGCCCAACACATCAAACAAAAAAACAGTTTTGGGATTCAAATTACTGTTTATCTTACTTAAAACCCTAGATTTTATAACTTCGTTAAGCTGGATTTTGTAATCACAGTAAAATTTGATGGGGAATTGAAAAGAAAGTACCTAAGGAATGCTCATTGGAGGGTTCGACGGCGGATGAAAGCGGGAGCGAGAGGAAAAAAAGCCAGAGAATGGAGGCGAAGATCCGACCCGAATTTGCAGAAGCCATTGCTTCTGGTTCTTGGTTTCGACTCCGAAATTACAGAGACGGGGTGAGAAGGCGCGCGTGGAAAATACGAGATGATATTAAGGGTATTTTGGCTATTTTACGAAACGGATTAGAAGTCCTTTTAGCCCAACCGACTTTGGTGGAACCACGGCTTGGACGCGTTTGATATTAGCAGGCTGGGTTTGTTATTAAAAATAGAGGCTTGGATTAAGATCCACTTTGAAAAAGAAAATTTTAAGGCTAGACGTCAGGATGATAAAAAGCTTAACAACTCTCACTTTTATTACTTATATCGTACTATGAATCATTTGATTACCCAATAAATTACTTATTTCTTTTCTTGTGCATCGGGGAGTGAAATAGAACATAAAACCGTAAGCTCTCAAACAGTGGGAGAAGTCCAGGGCTCTAATCGTGTGCCAGTTGAAGAATGAGCCGTTTCGGTCACCTGTGCACCTGGGTTGTCCATGATTTGTGCATAACTTGCATTAACAATTGTCGCATCATATTAAGGATATCATGCATGAGCATGACTCGGCTAGATAGTATATTGATAATGTATCCCAAGCATATTGACAATATATAAATAGTGTATTGTGAGTGGCAGAGCCAGAATTCGCTCGCATAAGCGGCCCTTAAGCCATATAAAAGAAATTAGATCAAATAAAGTAATATAATGTGATGTTGTATTGTTTTGTCAATATAATATGACGACGTATTGTTCTGTCAATTTAATGTGATACATCATCAATACAGATCATTATGTTTTTTTTACGTTAAGTTTCAACCATGTTTCCTTGATGTGTATTCTTGTAACGACCCGTCCCGAATTTTACGAATTTTAGAACGAGGGTAAAGTAGTAATTTCACGTTTGAGAGATATTTTTCATATTTTTCTTTTATGGGATTGTTTCGTGTGCCAAGTGGGACCCGCATCCCACTTAACCTCTCATCCCCTCTTGCCCCGTGTCCTTTCCCCCTCCCCAAACTCTCGATCATCTCTCATCTCTCCCCCTCACTTCTCTCTCTTCTTTTTTCTCCCTTTCACCTCTACACTATTCTTTCCTCTTCGAGGCACTAACCCACACGAACAAAGAAACAACATTGGCGAACCGTCGTCACCACCACCTGAACGTCATCATCTCGGGCCCAGACCAAGGTCTTGGAAACTTGACAGTGGGCAGAGGCCATTGTTCACCTTCTTCCCGACAAACCCAAGGCAATTTTTCATCACCCCCGACATAGGTAAGTCCCTAGGACCTTTTGGGTTGTATTTTAGGGTTAGATTAAGGTAGGCTTTAAGTTGTTTTCACATGTTGGACGCAGAAACAGCTTGGGGATAACGAACCTAGTTTCCAGTGAGGGATGCCATGACTTGCAGGTCATTTTTCGACCAACACGGGCCACGACATAGCTCCAAATTGGTAAGAACCTCTTCTCCTCATTCCAAGCTTCATTTCCATAACTAGAATGTGGAAAATGGCGAAGAAATGAGCTTGAACGGAGCTCTAGAACCCTGCCAAGAATCCTCCCAACCCACGACCTGAAATTGGGTCGACCTGACTCGTAATCCAAAACTAGATCCAAAACCCATCAACCCGGCCCAACTCAGCAACTAGGCCTAACCAAACTTAGCCCAAACCAACAACTTGACCCTACCTGGATCCGACCTGACCTGGACTCGATGGAATATTCATCGAAATATTCCATTATGAAATATTCTAACGGAATATACCATAGAATTTTCTTGGAATATTCTCTAGAATATTCATGTTGACTTTTCATTGACTTTTACGAAATTTGCCCAGGACCCCTTTTAGGGTATTTCGATGCTTGATTCCAAATCTGCGCTCCGTTTTCCCAAATTCAATCATTTTAGTAGGATTTTACTAATTGATCCCTTTATGTGCTTAGATACATTTATCAATGGTGATTTCGTTCTCCCTTGTTCGAATGACTCTTCGACAACGAAGTTTCTGTAAGTGGACCCTTTCCAAAATGCATGATTTTATGACTGCGTTTTATGAAACGTTTATGAGTTATCAGATCTACGCTTTATGAAATATCATGCTTTATCGAATTCACGTTACTGAGATATTTATGAATATGATTTATGATATGATGTTTGAGCTATTGAGCTTCGATGAGATATATTTTGGAAATATTATGTCCATGATTTTCTATGCTCACTTAGTGGATATTTATTTATATATGCCTTCAAACGGTCGATGTAGGGCCTTCGGGCAGAAGATTTATATATGCCTTCGCATGGGCGATGTAGGGCCTTCAAGTGAAAGATTTATATATGCCTTCGAGTGGGTGATGTAGGGCATTCGGGCGATTGTGATACCACTACTAAGCACCCGATATACGATATATGTTTTATGAAGGTTTTTATGGCATGATGGGGCTTGCAGAAAACCTACTACATTTTATGCTATATGAGTTTTCTAAAACTGAGGGCTAGTACGTTTGAAGAGAACTTGTTTTAGTATTACTTATATATAAACTTGGTCCGCTCATCATTTGTTTTGTGCCTTATTCAGGACTTAGAATCGAGGCGTACAATCCCGACGTCAAGGCATTCCTGCATTGGTTTCTTTGAGTCATCTCGGTGTAGGACCCATTCCTTTATTTGTACATTTTCATAATATTCCTTCTACAGTATTCTTGATTAGTTGTATTATTTATGTGTACTATTTACGCTCGTTCTTTCTTCATAACTTAATTGCATGTTAATATTGATAGGAGCATATTTATGCTACTTAGTTATGATGATTCCTTGCATTTAGTTAGCTAATTACTACTTATTATAGTGTTTTAAGCTATTTTCATGTGTTTGTAGGTCCTAATGGCAAAGTTGGCAAGAAAGTGCATTTTGGAGCCATTTGGAGCAGTTTTGGGCATCAATTGGATAGCTTGTGGGTAGAGTAAGATGGATGGACGAATTTGAAGACCAAAGGTGTCTAGGAATGTGCTAAAGAGCAGGAGAAGCAAAATTGGAAGTTTTGAAGATAAGGAATCAGCTACAAAGAAGGAACCTTATCCTATCTTATCCAAAACATTATCCAAACAACCTTATCCTAACTTATCCTAATCTAATCTTGTTCTACCTTATTTCTAGCTGCAAGGGGACCTAAATACCTGATTTCTAGAAGACCCTATCTGTTCCTAAAAGGGTGCCGCACCCTTCCCCTTTATCTCTTCTAGAAGTACCAAAATCTGCCACAAAATACAAAGTTTCTAGAAGCCCTAATTTCTGGCGAATTTTCCTAACCTTCTTTCCTCTTGGATTTTGAATTGAATTGGCCTTATTCCTTGTGGATTTGGATTGTACAAAGCCTTTTAAAAAATTAATTAGGTTTTGACCCTTTTCTTGAGGCCTAAGCCTTGTGCCACACCCTAGTCCTTCTCCCACCTGATTTCTACCAAACCCTAGACCTAATTCTAATTTCCCTAGGGTTTTGCTGTGCATCATACATATATATACATTTATGCCGCACCAAATAGGGGAGAACTCAGAGAGAAAATCAGAAAATTCAATTTGTATTGCAGCAAGGAGAAAGAAGGAATGGAGAAGCCTTTGTGCCGTGCATATGCCCAAGCTTTTGGGAGTGTTGGAGCATCTCTGGGATGTCTTTTATCCTTGTCTTAGTTTTACAATTATGTTGATTTCGTTGTTAATTTTTGCAATGATGAGGAACTAATTTCTTTATAGTTGGAGGTGAATTCGAAGCCATGATTATATGTTTTATATGAATTGATTACATTCAATTATTGTTTCTTGATTCTTGAATGTGATTTGCTTATCTGAGTTATCAAAACTTGTTTATGTATGTTGGTTGAGGGTCGACACTTAATTTGCATGTATGAATTTGATGCTAGAGTATAAGGGAGTTTCACCTAATCGTTATGAACTTATATTCACAAGTAGTGGAAGTCACTAGTCATGATTGTGTTAAGTAAATCCTTGGTATGAGTATCATGCTTTTCATAGTTACGAATGCCTCGTCAATGCTTATGGTTTTCAAAGAACTTAATGACCTTTGATATGTCTTTCTATCATGCTTTTCATAGTTAGGGAACTTGATAAGGATAATTTGGTTGTGATGCGTATCTCATCCAATTCAATAAGTTAAGGAAAATCTGAAAGTTAATTTGTGCTTTTCACGGTTAATTTGGGGCATTGTCATTCATAGTCTAAAGGAATAATAATTGGAAATTGGTTTGTATGCATATGTCATGTGTGGAGATGAACCCTCTAACCAGTTTTTCACCCTTTTTCAATTCACCAAATTCATTTTTATAAAGTGTTTTATGCAAAGTTTCTGTTTTAAGTTTTAAATTCGTCAAAAACAATCCCCCTTTCATTAAGTCTTGTTAGTTGAGTCAAAATCTGTTTTCTTTTAGTCTTTTGAGTCAAGTTAAGTCTTATTTTCGTCAAAATCACTTGTTAGGTCTAGAATTGAGTCTTTTTGATTGTTTGTTGCTGTTTTGAGTGTTTTAAGTCAGTTTTGAGTCTATAGAGTCTAATTTAGTGTTTTTAAGTCTTATTTGTGTTGATTAGCATCCCTAGTTAATCCTCGGTCTAGAATGATCCCTACTTACATATATACTACAATTGTCAACAATAGGGTTTAATTTGTGTGTCAAGTTAATTTTCACATCAAATTTTGGTGCCGTTGCCGTGGATTAGCAGACTTGCTAATCCCTTTTGTTTATGTTGTGTCAAAGTGAGTCTTAAGGTCAAGTGTGTCATGTGTTTCTTTGTGTCTGTTTGTGTTTGCCGTGCTCTTTAAAAGTGGTTGCTGATTTGTTTTGATTCTTTGTTTTAAGTACTAGTTTATGACTCGCAGTTCTCAACCTATTCGTGCAAATATCTTTGAGTTTGACGACAATTTTGAACGAACTTTGAGAAAGAAGAGGAAGAATCCAGAACCTAGTCCATCTAGTTCTGAGGCCGAATCTGAAGAAGAAGAAGTGGAAGAAGAAGAACAAGCTATGACTGCGAACAATCGAGCAATCAAAGAACTTTCAGCCTCGGGATTAGACAATGCTGTGCCTTTATGCATTCAAT